ATTTGTAAGGCCGCGGTGACACAGACTTATTTCATTTTAAGGTTATAATCCCTTGTTCATTATGATGTCATTTTTACTTTGATGTGTCAACAGCGTTACGGAAATCACGTGACGTGAGGGTTCTGCCTTTGTAGTGAGGGTTGTAAGTTGACGCCGAGGAGGGGGAGGAGGCGCCTAGCCCCCCCTCCATGTGGAGCGACGTCAGCCGCTAATTATTATTAATGAGGGGGGGGAGGTCCATGTGGAGGACGTCACCTGCTCATGATTATCCACGAGGAGGGCTGGCCGACGTGGAGTGACGTCACGCGCGTTGCACACAGACATTCTTGGCTCGTAGTAAATGTTGGTGGCAGTGGGGCGGCGAGGGAGGGGGGGGGGTAGATCTTTGGCCTTGTCGTTAGAGTCTTGCTTCGGCGTGCGATGAGAAGGCAAGAAAGAGTTCCCCGGAGAAAGTCCACACACACGCGTGGGGGAAAGGCAACTCGGCCACGTCTCTCCCTCTCTCAGTTTATCGTAACATGGGAGCAAAGATCAACGCCCCCCCCCCCTGCGCCCCCACTGCTCATACATTAAAACAGTTGACCTGCTCGTTTTACAACAACCTCTGACGTTGTCACCTTCCCGATACAGCAACGAACACCGTCGCAGCGCGGTGCGCACGCACGGCGTTCAAATAAATGACACAAAGGCAGAGGTCACCCGTGTAGCCTGTAAAAGACTGTAGGGGCAAGTGCTGTTAGTGAGTAGCAGCACCAATGAAGGCCGGCACGGTGGCACACGAGGGGGTGGGTGGGCAGCATCTCGCCTGATCGCCTTTGGCTCCCGAGTGGTGATGTTTACACACCGCGCCAGGTACTCACTTGAGGCTCAGTCTACCTAGGGAAGGCCCAGGACCTGTTCAGAGAATCGTCACTACCGGTGTTGGAATCGACCCCGGGTCACTGGGCTCGTAGCGTGGTGCGCGAACTGCTACGCCACCGCTCCCAGTACGTACGGCGTTGAAATAATAAAACAGACCACCATCATCGTCATCATCATCGTCATCATCTGCCATCATCTATCTAACAATCCACGTGCTGTGGTCGTTGCCACGGCTCTCACAATCCATCAAGCGAGCCGCCACGCTCCATCACCCCGCGGTTGACGTCCTTTCTGTTGAACACGTGGTAGTAGTGGTCGTGGTCGAAGTGGTAGGGGTCTCGCGGCCAATGTTACAAAGGACACTCTGATAGTGCGCTGTTTTTGAGTTGTACGCCTTTTGGCGTCATCTGGTCCAACACCAATGGAGACTAGGCTCTAAGAAAAGCTGTCTCGGGTGTGGACCAATCAACTTCAACGACAGTGCATATCATTATCATCATCATCAGAGTTGTTTCTTTTTGTTTGCATTTTTGACTGCTTGTGTTGTGGTTATTGCAAACATGATCCCTTGTATAAAGGTGTCAGTTTTGTACCAGATAAAAGGGTAAAAACCTATTACTATATTTTGCTACTGGTAAAGGAGGTCTCATAGTGTAACAAACGATTGTTTTTTGGGTGAGATCGCGTAAATAGCGACGTGTCATTAAACCCGCCACCACCCGACGACACGGCTGCCAGTTGTTAAGGTTTGTCACGTAGAAACAAAGTGCCAAGTTGGTTACGACGTGTTGGAAAGTAAACCCACAATGACATCTTACAATTCGATTATCGCAAAAGTGATTTGCAACCAGCATCATCAGGTGATTGTGACAGAATTGTGAAGAAGTCTTCCTGTTTCTGTCCCATCACTCTCCCTTCTCCCTCTATCCCGGGCGTTGTTTTTTCTCTCTCTCTCTCTCCTTTGGCTGTTGCTCCGTTGTTAGTCTTGACCAGAGGCCAGCAAACCTTGCGGGCAGCCGTTGTGTTTTTTACTTCAATCTTCACCCGCAATTTAACGTAAATATAATTGTTTCAATGTGGCTGGGAATGGGGGCCGCTATGGAATGTCTTGGTGACAACATGTACAAAAGTCAAATTGTATTCGTGAAGAATAACTAAAAAAAAAAGGGGGGGGGAGATGGAAAAAAGAAATAGACGCAATTTATTCCATCACCCATCTTCATCATTCAAGCCAGAATGTGTTTGCCGTCTGCTATATAACTGCTGCTGCTGTATAGCTACTGCTGCTGCTACTACTGCTGCTGCTACTGCTGCTGCAGCAGCCGTGTTTGTATCCAAGTGGCCCTGCGCTCAGATGCCGACTCGCGAACTATTTTGGTCAAGAAGTCAAAACCGATGCCTCTGCCACCTCTTCGTCGAAAGGTCACGACCCCTGGGTCTTGACCCACCGTCCGTCGCCCCCTCCTCGTCGTGACGACGAGCCGGGCCCAAGGCCCCACGGCGCTTCCCCGCACGGTTTGAATGTCACTCTTCGAACGGAGTGTGCGTTCTCTCACCCACGCGGTCACCCACGCGGTCACCCGCGCGTTCACCGTTCACTCTCGCGGCGTGCGTTCACGCGTCCACGCGTGAACCTCTCACTGCTGGCGGAAGGGCAGCCCCAGTAGGGAGCTGCAGAGGTGGGGGGGAGGGGTGCTGTAGTACGGGGGGGGGGCTGTAGTAGGTGGAGGGGGGCTGTAGGGGGAGGGCTATAGAGGGAGGACGGGGGCGGGGGGTATTTTTCCCAGACGTCACGAAACGCGTCCGAATCTAAAGAAATAATCGATTCGTGCACACGCCGATGATTTATCGATCTTTAAAGAAATCGATCGACAGCCGATATCTTTGGAGCCAGACCGCATGAGTAAAATTCCGATTAGCTTGTAATTTGAGGTGGAGGAGGGTTGTACGACACACAATTTCCACTTTTGTTTTGGCCCACGCGGCTCTGACCCAAATATAAATTATGAATCACAACATTGATCGCGAAAGCGAACTGGACACGTGCTAAGTAGGCGTAACGCAGTTGAACGCGGCCTAGCAACACTTGGAATTCGCTGTCGAGGGTGACGTCACCCGAGCCATTGTTCGTCACGCGGGTGACGTCATTGGCGGGGAGAGTTACGAGAGAGGGAGAGATGGGGAGGGAGAGTGGGGGAGTGGGGAGGGAGGGGAGGGAGAGTGGGGACGGAAAGTGGGGAGGGAGAGAGGGGAGGGACAGAGGGGAGGGAGAGAGGGGAGGGAAAGTGGGGGAGGGAGAGAGGGGAGGGACAGAGGGGAGGGAGAGAGGGGAGGGAAAGTGGGGGAGGGAGAGAGGGGAGGGAGAGTGGGGGAGTGGGGAGGGAGGGGAGGGAGAGTGGGGAGGGAAAGTGGGGGAGGGAGAGAGGGGAGGGAAAGTGGGGGAGGGAGAGAGGGGAGGGAGAGTGGGGGAGTGGGGAGGGAGGGGAGGGAGAGTGGGGAGGGAAAGTGGGGGAGGGAGAGAGGGGAGGGACAGAGGGGAGGGAGAGAGGGGAGGGAAAGTGGGGGAGGGAGAGAGGGGAGGGAGAGTGGGGGAGGGAGAGTGGGGAGGGAGAGTGGGGAGGGAAAATGGGGGAGGGAGAGAGGGGAGGGACAGAGGGGAGGGACAGAGGAGGGGGAGAGAGGGGAGGGAGAGTGGGGAGGGAGAGAGGGGAGGGAGAGTGGGGGAGGGAGAGATGACCGAAAGAGGGATGAGGAGAGAGCGAGAGAGATGGGGGAGATGGGAGAGGAAGGGGGGGGAGATGGAGCAGAGGGGAGAGGGAGTGGGCGGGCTGAGTGTTGATGACGCTGTTGCTGCTGATGCAGCTGATGCTGACTCTGCACAGTGCCTGCCGCCCATGACTCACCACTCACACCCCCCTCACTCCCCCCCACCTTACCCCCAACCTCACCGCCCCATCAACATCCAATTCCACAAACAGGGCGTGTATTATACGTTCGTATAATATTCTTTGGTTCTTTCGGTAAAGTCACGTAGAGAGAAAAAATAATACAAATAAAGTGAATTAAAATTATCACGACGTTTCGATCGCAATAAATATATCCACGTCCAGCAGTGACCTGCGCACACGTACATTCGACAAACGTCCGGAGAGACAAAGGTGGCCGGGCGTGGCGCTTCAAGCACCGGCCCCACCCACTCGCGTGCCGTGCCGGCCTTCATAGGTGCTCGCCAAACAGCACTTGCCCCAACAGTCTGCGCAGGCTATACGGGGGAACCTTTGTCTTTGTGTGAGTGCGGGGAGCGGTGGCGCAGCGGTTAGCGCGCTGCGAACTCCCCCCCCTCTCCCCCCCCCCCTCCCCCGTGAGCCAAGCGACGAATATCTGAACCCTGAACTCTGAACCCTGAACTCTGAACCCTGGTCCCGGGGCCATCCCTCGAGTTCAGGGGTCGGCAAGCTGCAGCTCTGCAGCTGCACGCGGCTTTTTACAGACTGCTTCGTGACGTAATGTGATGTGTGTGTGTATAGTGTGTGTGATGTGTATGTGTGATGTGTGTGTCTAATGTGTGATGTGTGTGTGTGTGATGTGTGTGTGTGTAATATGTGTGTGTAATGTGTGTGTGTAATGTGTGTGTGATGTGTGTGTGGTGTCTATGATGTGTGTGATGTGTGTGTGTGTGTAATGTGTGTGTGATGTGTGTGTGTGTAATGTGTGTGTTGCGTAATGTGTGTGTGTGTGCGTAATGTGTGTGTGATGTGTATGTGTGCGTGCGTAATGTGTGTATGTGATGTGTATATGCAATGTGTGTTTATGTAAATTGTGTATGTAATGTGTGTTTGTGTACATATTCATGGCCATTGCGGCTCTTGAAAAATTGAGTTTCGTGCCGAACAAAAAAAAAATGCCTCTCGTCATTTTTATTGCGGACTCCCCTGGCCCTGCCCTGTTCCGCCCCTACTTGACATCCGTGAACAAGCGCTTCATAGCTCACCGGAGTCCTCCAGCACAAACAAATATTCTGATTCTGACTTAAGTGAGTGCCTCGTGCCGCATGTAAACATCGCTCCGCCCCCCTTCCCCCTCGCGTCCCCGTAACCCGCGCGTCCGCTGCGTGTCTCTCCCTCGCCGCTCGCCCCAAGGTGGCCGCGGGGTGCGCAAGCGCAAGGCCTCTCCAGAGCCCGACTGCGACCCCGGCGGGCCCCACTCGGGGATCTCCTCCGGCATCCCCTCTTCGGCGGCTGCGGGGGTGGCGTCGTCGGCGGGGGGCGTCGGCGGACCGACCAAATTGGAGGGGGCCGCGTCGGACGACGGCGGCGGCGGCCCGCCGGGGCCCCTCGCTCACGGCTCGCGGCCCCCCCCCGTCCCGTGGATCCCGGCGTGCGAGGCCCTGAAGCTGACGCTCGGCTCCAATGCATTCCCCGGCTCGTCGTCCACCGCCGCCGCGTTGCAGCAGCAGCAGCAGCAAGCGTCGAGCAGCGGCGGCGGCGTCGCGGCCGCCGCGTCGTCGTCCGCGTCGTCGTCCGATGGGAACCGCACCACGCCACCCGACTCGGTCGCCTCGTCCAACGGGACCAACGGCGCCGCCTCCTCCTCCACTGCCACTTCCTCCGCCTCCTCCTCGTCGTCAACGGCCGCCGCGTTGGCGACACTCATGTCGTCGTCGTCGGCGTCGTCGGCGGCGTCGGCGGCGGTGGCAGCGGTGGCGGCCGACTCGATGCAGGACGAGCCGTCGCCCGGCAAAGACGGCGGCTCCGACGCCGTGCACTCCACCACCACCACCACGGCGGCGGCGTCGGCGGCGGGTGGCGCCGTGCGGGGGGCGGGCAGCCCCGGCTCTCCCGGCAGCAGCGGCAGCGGCAAGAGGCTGGCCGGCGCGGGCGAGCAAAGCGGCGGCGGCGGCGCCAACAACGCCAACGGATCGGCGCAGGGCAGCAACGGTGGCGGCAGCAACGGGGTGAACAACAACGGCGTGGCTACCGGGAGCGGCGGGGCGGGGGGCCCGGACTCTGCGTCGGCGGGTGCCGGTGGTGCGGGGGGCCCCCTGTGCTGCACAAACTGCCACCAGCGGCTGGAGGACACGCACTTCGTGCAGTGCCCGTCGGTGGCGGCGCACAAGTTCTGCTTCCCGTGCTCGCGCGACAGCATCAAGAAGCAGGGCACGAGCAGCGGCGAGGTGTACTGCCCCAGCGGGGAGAAGTGCCCGCTGGTGGGCTCCAACGTGCCCTGGGCCTTCATGCAGGGGGAGATCGCCACCATCCTGGCCGGCGAGATGACCGTCAAGAAAGAGAGGGACACCTGATGGTCGGGGGATCGTAGGATGGGATCGTCGGATGGGATGGGATCATCGGATGTGTTGGAGGATTGGCGTGGATCGTGGTGGCGGAAGTCGTGGGGGCAAGTGTCGGTTGTGACCGGAGCGATGGATTTGCGTGGTTGCGATTGCGCGCGTGGTTGGGATTGCGCGCGTGGTTGAGATCGCGTGGTTGCGATTGCGTGCGTGATTGAGTGATTGGGATTGCACGGTTGGGATAGTGTGGATGGTCTGTGTGCTTGAGATGGCATGGTTGCGATTGCAAGGTTGGGATTGTGTGGTTAAGATGGCATGGTTGGGGTCACGTGATTGGGATTGCGTGATTCGGATTGCACTGTTGGGATCGCGTGGTTCAGATTGCACGGTTGAGATTGATGGCAATCCGATTGCCTGCCGGTTGTGGGCAGTGGCGCACCCAGTTGGAACGATATTCACCGAGAGCAACACCCAGAGGCAGCAAGTAACCGAGGCGGAAACAACGTGTTTGCTGCCGTCACCGAGCTCAGGCCCAAAAGCGTCGAGCGGCCAGCAACAATCATCACGAGCATCGACCCCCCCCCCCCCCCCTTGTGGAACAGCGCTACGGGACTCACGAAACGTCCGTCGCTCGAACGCTTTTGTTCCACGCGTAGCTCAGTGTGGCGGGCACCGCCGCCGGAGGGCCTCCGGCGGTGGAGCGAGCGAGCGGCCGGTGCTATCGGGGAGGTCGCCGGTTCACACGTCCCCTCCCCACCCCTCCCTTTTCCGCGGTGGGCTTGGGGTGGGGTGGGTGGAGGGTAGTCGATAAAAACGAGCACCACTTTTTTCGGGAACTTCAACGGCGGCGGTTGTCCTGTCGGAGAGACTCTCGCCCCCCGGTTCAGGGCCGCCCCCCGGTTCAGGGCCGCAAACGGGAGATGACTTCAGACCACGCGCCACCTTCAATATGGAAACCAGGGAGTGAATCTTAAAAATGGGTCTGCGACGTACCACGTTTGGGGGGCGGCGGCCAATTTCCGCTTTGCCCACCCTCGCCCCCCCACCCCACCCCTCCCTTGAGTCTTGTTCTTCGTCCGGAATTTTTCCGTTCCGGTTGGAGTGGAACTCAGTAGGCGGCAGATGAGGAGGATGATGAATAGGATGATGAGGAGGAGGAGGATGGAAGACGTTTTCGTTGGCTTTTAAACGGCACACCACGACCCCGAGTGAACGACGGCAATGGTGGCGATGGCTCGTCGGGGGGTGACAGGGTCGAGTCTGCTCCTGCTCCTCCATCATCATCGCCGCCGCCGCCGGCTTTCTGCGGCGTGGCTCATATGACCACGGCAGTTCTTGGGAGACGACGACGATGGCCGGCCGTGCCATTGAAGACAACGATTCACAACCGCAACCCCCTAACTGCACCGTCCGCAGGAACGTGGAATTTACGCAAAACACGCAACTTGAGCCGAGGGATGGCCACCCCGCGCGGGAGACGGAGCGACGGGACCGGCCCGTGAGCGCCGGTGGATCCGTTCCATCGCGGGAGATCACACCGTCAGCCTGAGAGGCGGAGGTCTTCATCCAGCAGTGGACTGACCATGGCTGCGTGATGATGATGATGATGAGCGATAGATACGCAAAATTTCATTCGTCGGGTGTGAAACCGGCTCGCAACAACAACAAAAAAACCACACGGACGCCCGTCGTTGTTGTCGCTTGTTGTTGTTGTTGTGGCCCCGAAAAACTTGACGACGCCCACAGCTGCCAAACGGAGAGAGAGAGAGAGACTCTCCAGCTGAAGTGCGGAGATAAGGTTCGACTCCCGGCCGGCGAGCAAACACCGGCCAGAGCAGAAACCCACGCGACCACGAACGAGCGGGCGGGCGGGAAGGGGTGGGGGGGGGCACGTGTACATTTTTCCAAGCGGTCACGACGTCGTGCGCGTGTACATAAGGTGCGAGAGTGGCGTCAACACGAGAGTGGGAGCGCGCACGCACCCGCCGTGCACCCACGCGCACACTCGCACGCGTGCTCACGTGAACGTTCCGTACACATCGTACACTACACGCGCGCGCACGCACGCGCGCGCAAGCACACACGGACAAAAGGAAACTTGGGTCTGGTTTTAAAAAAAAACTTGTTCTGATTTGTGTTGCTGTTTATATTTTTGTGTGGGGGGGGGGGGTAGGCGGGAGGCAGGGGGGGTGGGTGGGGGGGGCAGGGGGGATTTTTGATTTTATTATTTTTGTTTGGGGGGGTGGGTGGGGGGGTCTGAACAGAGGGACGGGGCGAGCTGTGGGTTGAGTTGGAAGCAACGCGGGAATGTGGTTCGGATTTAATTACTCATTTTTTATTGAAGTCAACATGGGGGGGGGGGGGGGGGAGTCTGTGGGTCAGGGGTTGGAGGTTCACGTTGGGATTGCCCTGAATGATGGAGGAAGGTAGGCGGTGGGCGAGGTGCGGGTATTGCTGTGTCCGTGCGTGTCTGCGCGTGCCCACGAGTGTCTACGTTGGCGCACCTCTGTCTCTCCGTGTTTGTGCGTCTGCGCTCCGTTGTGTCCGCGTCGCATCTACCGGCGCAAGTTCGACCTGTCAACGCGAGCCCTGCGTGCCGTGTCTGCGTGCCGCGTCTGCGTGCCGTGTCTGCGTTCGCGTCGACCGGTGGCGCGGTGTTTACCGCATTGGTGCCACAAACCCAGCCACCCGAGTTCGATTCCCGCTCACAGTCAACACCGGTGATGAGTACTGTATATGCATTCGTTTTGAGCCCCCCCCCAGGTCGACTCAGCCTTAAATAAATATCTGGCACAGTGAGTAAACATCGGTGACACACAAAGGCGGCCTGGCGTGGTGCTGGCCACACCATCCGTTCGTGTGACGTGCTGGCCCGCAAAGGTTCTCGCTAAGAGCTCTTGCCCCAACAGACTGGTGAAGGGCTATACGGGGGACCTTTGTTTTATCGCTGCCCACGTGTCTATCTGGAGTGTCGATGAGTGTGGGTCCCCATTCACGTGCATGTGTCTGCGTTCGTGTGTCTGCGTCTACGTTCACGTGTCCGAGCGCGGGTGAGCGTGGGTGAGCGTGAGCGAGTGTGCGAGCGAGTCTCTTGCTCCCCGCACTCATCATCCGTTAGTCGCCCCTCCTGACTAGGCTTGCGAGTGACCACGCGGCTCGCATTCGTCTGTGACCACGTGAGCTCGGCATTCGTTCGCGACCACGTGGCTCCCTTTCGTTCGCAACCACGTGAGCTCGCCTTCCTTTGCGACCACGTGGTTCGCATTCGTTCGCCTCCATAGCCGTGCGTTGCACCGCTGGCGTGCATGGCAGGCGGTTCGTATAAATCATAACAATAACAACGGATAATAATAATAAAAACATGTAAAAACATTACGTTCGCATTCCTCTGCTTTATTTTCTCAATTGGGAAATGCAACGGTGAGCGAAGAGTAAATCCGCACGGACATCCCCTCCTGAAGCCCCTCACCTCGTGGCCAGCAGCAGGACCTCGACATTGGAATCGAGCTCTGGAACGTATTGCCATCATTCTAGATTTGAAGCTTTCGTGACTGCAAGGATTCATATTCTTAGGTATTTTCGGTAAAGTCACGTAGGTAAAAAATGAAAATTAATAAAAGTAAAAATAAAATAAAAATCACGACGTTTCGGAGGCAACACAAGCTTTCGGTCTTCAGGTGAAACCATCACAGCACGATTGCTTTAATTTAGATTTTTGTTTTCTATCTACGTGACTTTGCCGAAAGAACCAAGAATATAGTTGTAACTACTGATGATAGTAGTATCCACTGACACTACAGTAGTAACTACTAACTCTACAGTAGTATCTACTGACTGTAGTAGTATCTACTGACTCTTCAGTAGTATCTGCCGACTCTATAGTAGTATAAACCAACTCTATAGTAGTAAATACTGACTCTACAGTAGTATCTAATTACTATAGTAGTATCTACTGAATCTATAGTATCTATTGACTTTCGTAGTATCCACTGACTATATTAGTAACTACTAACTATATAGTATCTGCTGACTATAGCAGTATCTGCTGATTATGCCAGTATCTACCGACTATAGTAGTAACTACTGACTCTACAGTAGTATCTACTAAATCTATAGTAGTATCTACCGACTATAGTAGTATCTACTGACTCTGCAGTAGTATCTACCGACTCTGCAGTAGTATCTACCGACTCTATAATAGTATCTAGTAAGCATACAATGTGCCGCTGTGAGGCCTAGTCCCATGGAGAGCCCCCAGCCTTGCCTAGATTGCCCAGCCGGCCGAGGTGGCACCTTGGCAGGCTGGGCTGGGCAGCTATAGCCCCCCACCGCCCCTATCGTAGTAAGTGCACACATTGGGGTGGGGGACATCACACTTTGAATAATTTACCTCAGCGTTGTGTATTTTTTTTAGCATTTTTAACGCAAGAATTCCCCCCTCCCCCTACCTGATCTCGTGTGTGCGTTGCTCGGGCAACCACCACCACGGAGCCGGTTTTCTCGCGCATGCGCAGATGCGTGCTCTGGCGCCACCCTGTGCGTATAAGAGGAATACGTTGTTAATTTAACTAAAGTAAAACCTTGGATTGCGAGTAACTTGGTCTGCGAGTGTTTTGCAAGACGAGCAAATTTTTTTAATAAATATTAATTTGATAAACGAGCGAGGTCTTGCAATACGAGTAGTACGTGTATACGCTTTGTCTGCCGAGCGTCACGTTATCACAACTGATATACGAGTGCTTTGATATACGAGTGCTTTGGATTACAAACACGTTTCCGGAACGAATTATGCTCGCAATCCAAGGTTTTACTGTACTTTAAAGTTGATAAATGTGAAATACGAATAGCGCTTTTTCGTCCCGGAGCATACGGCGTGGTATCTGTGTACGTTTTCGATACGTAAACCCCACAGTTTGTCAGTTAAAAAGTCTCAAGGTACCTGCACAGACAGCCAGACAAAGAATGACGTTTATAGGTAAGATGCAACAGGCCCCGCACTAGTTTAATCCAGCACTGAGTGCGCTAACCACTACGCCACCGGCTGCCCATGCAATTGCCACACACGCATGTGCACACAAAGACAAAGGTCCCCCGTTTAGCCTTAACAGACTGGGCAAGTGCTGTGAGCAGAGTAGCACCTATGAAGGCCGGGACGGCACGCCCGGTCGCCTTTATTTCCCCGGTGATGATGTTTACACACCGCAACAAGGTATTCATTTGAGGCCGAGTCTACCTAGGGGAGGCCCAGACGTGGAGAGCGAGATGGAGAGAAGTAAACAGACATCTGGAGAGAGCTGAAAAAAATAATTTGGATGGAGGGGGGTGAAGGAGAGTGAGAGAGATAGCGAAATAGATTAATATAGAGGTGGAGATAAGGAGAGGGTTGGTTTAAATCCTCTGCAGTATGTAGGTGAAAGAGAATCGGAGAAGTATGAAAGGAGAAACTGAGAGGCCGTTATTTTGGGAGAGAGATGGTTACACAGAGTAGAGAGCTGGAGAGAGATAAATATAGACGTGGATACCGAGAGCGTGGGGTACACGTAGAGAGAGAGAGATGTGAAGAGAGATGCAGAGAGATATGAAAAGAGCTCTTGAGAGGCAGAAATAAATTTGGTGGGGTGAGTGGTGGTGGTACTCTTAGGTTTTTTCGGTAAAGTCACGTAGGTAAAAAAAGAATAAGAATAATAGAAATAAAATAAGAATAAATCAATTAGTGATTTCATTGATTTATTATTATTTTATTTATATATATTTTTTTCCTACGTGACTTTACCAAAAAAAACCCATAAGAGTATGAATCCTTGCAGTCACGAAAGCTTCAAATCTAGTGGTGGTGGGGAAAGATTGCGTGTTTGGGGTGTGACGTCAACCCCGGATAACAGAGGGCAGTGACGAGAGGGAGGGAAGGGGGGGGCAGGGGTAGAGGGCAGCGCACGCCGAGTATTCGTGGAGGATGGAGAGGAGGGGGTGGGTGGGTTGAAGAAGGGAAGGGGGGGGGGGGCAGGCAATGTGGGTTGGAAGGGAGGGTGGGGGGCATTGGGTGGAGGAGATGCAAAAGAGAGAGGGCGGATGGATCTGGTGGCGGGGCAGGGGGGTTGGTGGGGAGGGGTTGGATGGAGGAATGGGGGGAGTGGTGGGATGGGGGTTGGAGGGGGGGTCATGACAGGCACCCACAGCCCCCCACCGCCGCCACACCGTCCAGACGCACTGTATCCACGGCGAGAGCGAAAACAAGATCGAGTTACAGGGCCATGCTCACCCGTGTCAACATACAAAGGTCCCCCGGGTAGGCTTGCAACGGTGCTGCTGGGGGCAAGTGCGAGCCGAGGAAAGCCGAGAGCCGCTCGAGGGAGCGGGCGGGGTTCGAGCGCCACGCACCGGCCGCCTTTGTCTTTCCACGGGTGACGTCATGACACCGCCGGTGCCAGGCTAGGTGCACACACACACACACAAGCCCCCCCCCCCCTGCTCCCCCTCCCCCCGTATAACCTTGAACAGGCTGTTGTGGAGCAAGTGCTGAGTAGCAGCACGGCGGTACGGGTGGAGCAGCCACGCCCGGCCGCCTTTGTCTCCCCCCAGTGACGACGTTTGCTACACACCGCACCGAGGTGCTCAATTCGAGGCTGAGTCGACCTAGGGGGCAGGCCCAGGACCGATTCAATGTAACCGCAACACACACACATCGCCACGTCTCCGTGTGTGTGTGGTCACGTGGGGGGGGGGTGGGGTCGAGCACGTGGAGATTACAGTGAACGCCGCGTCACGGGGACGTCCAGGGCGTCACCGTGCAGACACAGGTGGCAAAGGTCCCCCGTGTAGCCTCCAGCAGTCTCGGGGGGCAAGTGCCGCGAAGCGCCGAGCAGCACGTAGCGGAAGGCCGGCAACAGGCGCACGAGGGGCCTGGGTCGCCCGGCCGCCTTTGTCTCCCCAGTGTGGCGACGTTTTTACGCACGGCGCATCGGGTGCTCGGTTGAGGCCGAGTCGACCTAGGGGAGGGCCCGGGACCGCCGCAGATAGCCGTCTCTGGCGTTGGCCGTGTTCGTGGCGCGCAGGGCACGCTAACCGCTGCACCACCGCTCCCCCCCACACACGTACAAAGACAAAGATCCCCAGTATAGCCTGCAACAGACTGTTGGGGCAAGGGCCGGCACGGCACACGAGGGGGTGGGTGGCCAAAACAACGCCCGGCCGCCTTTGTCTCCCCAGTGACGATGTTTACACACCGCACCAGGTACTCATTTGAGGTCGAGTCGACCTAGGGGAGGCCCAGGACCGGTTCAGATAATCGTCACTGGGTGTTGGCCGTGAGAGCGGGAATCGAACTCGGGTCCGCCGGGTTCGTAGCGCAGCGCGCTAACCGCTGCACCACCGCTCCCCACTACACACACACAGCGACACACCGAAACTTGGAGCCCCGCGGAATCCGGCGCGAGTAAATATCTCGCTCACCACACAGCCTCCTCGCGCGTCCAACGAGAGACACATGTCACCCTAACCCTCCCCACCCCTCTCCCTTCCCTCTCGTTTTCCTCTCTCCGGTCTCCAAATCCTTCCCCACGTCTCCTGCTCCCTGTCGTCTCCATCTCCCTACCCTGCTCTCCCTCCGTCTCTGTCTCTCTCCCTCTGTCTCTCTCCCTCTGTCTCCCACCGTGCATCTACATCCCGTCATCCAACCGCTCTCCAAGTCGCCGTCACGCCGCCACCCTCCCCCCTCCCCGTCCTACCCAGCCACTCACCTGCGTTGGCCAATGTTGGGGTCAAATATGGGCAACCCCTTCCCTTCCCTGCCCCCAAACCCCACTTCCTAACACCAAGCCACGTGAGCCCCCCCACCGCCCGCCCTAGGCCGTTGGACTGCAAGAAGGGCTGCGTGAAGAACGAGAGAGTGAGCGAGAGAGTGACCGAGAGAGTGAGCGAGAGAGTGACCGAGAGAGTGAGCGAGAGAGAGAGAGTGAGAGAGTGACCGAGAGAGTGACCGAGAGAGTGAGCGAGAGAGTGAGCGAGAAAGTGAGCGAGAGAGTGAGCGAGAGGTGGGGGTTTTACATAAAGCTAAGTAAAAAAAAAAATACGAAATGATGAACGAAGCAAAGTACGAATACACCGAGAATCTTCTTGTTTCCACTGATCGTAAAAAAAAACCCTCGCCATCACACCAAGCCCCTAACTCCAGTTCTCAGTGTCAATCGCAGCCACAACTGAAACTCAAAGTTACCCCCGGTGTCGCCTTAACAGATCATTCCGGGGGGCGGGGAGGGCAAGTGGTGTTTGCGAGCACCCACATAAGCCGGCACGGCACACGACGGACTGGGTAGGCCAGCACCACGCCCGGCCGCCTTTGTCTCCCCAGTGACGATAATTTCCACACCGCACCAGGT